TACCTTCAAATCTTGCTTCTGTTAATTAGACTGGCGCCTAGCCGTTACTTGCTTCTCTTTCTCACGTCTTCCTAAAAGTGACAAGTACAATATATAGTAATCCACCTTATTATTAGATTAATTAAATGTATAAGGAACACTATAATTGGCACATAACTAGTATGTGCCACCGGTCAAACCATTCCACTTAGCTTGTTAAACCGGCACATAGGCATAAACCGATTTGACAACCTTGCTTTCAAAATCCCTTCAATATCAATAAGCTGGGCCTACTCACTGCATGCATGCCTGCCACCCAAAGAGAAACCTTCATCACTGGTAGTGCATGGTATGGTATGCTACCCTTTATTCCAAGGGCTATAGCTACAAACAATCCAATGTGGATTCCTTTCTTTTCCCCCCACTGTCTCTTTTCTCTTAGGGCAAGGGAAGGGAAAGAAAGATCAAAGATACCCTTGTTCTGTTCTGCAGAACTCGAAGGGCACCCATATAGATAAAACATCATCAGCTAGTGATCAGCTATAAAAGCTCTCTCTTTTGGCCAAAAGATATGCCTACATATGCTCATCAGAGAGAATGTGATCAGATCTTCTTCAGCAAGAAAAGCATAGTCAAGCCTGATCCCAATCTCTCAAAGCAACTCCACAACCATCATGTCACCAGCTAGCTCTAGCTCTCAATTTTTTTCATTCATTCTGTAACATTATGTTCATTTATGTGAAGAAGGTTTCAAAAACCCAATGATGGGTTTTATATAACTTTCTTGCATTTGGCACAGTAGTGTAGTGTTGCAAAAATTACATAGATGATTGCTAAAGAAAGAAAAAGATCAGTATTGGGCTTTGCAACAAAACTTTCCTTTACTCAAAGACATGAAAAAGTAGTGTACATAGAATATAACATAATGCATAAGTTTGTACAAATTAAAGGAGGGAGGGGTGGGGGTAGTTTTCTACAATCTTGAACTTTGATTTCGATTTCGAATTAACTGAAAATTATTCGTTAGGGAAAAGGTGTTCTTGGTAGAATTTTTTTTTTTTGAAATAAAAGGTAGCTAAATAGGAGAGGTTGTGAATTTCTGTTAACACTAATGATTGATTTTATTAACGATAGTCGATCATTATATGGTTCATAAAGAATAAAAGAGTTGAATTCATTGCTAAGTTTTCTATTAGCCCATATGATCATCCATGTTGAATGAAGTTGAAGAATCGGTCATATACATCATCTTTGCTTTTTCTCGACTTTTTTAGGCAAAGTTAGAATCCATGATGAGAACCAAGAAACACACACAAAAGAAAGAAAACAAAGAAGGAAAATTGTATCAAAGAAGGGAAACACACACATGAAAGTGAGAGAGAAGGACGGTATAAGGATTAAACTTTGTTTTAACGTTAGGAATGTTCCTCTTTGTCCTTTTTGTTCAATTTTGGTTTAGAAATAGGCAGATTTTGAAAAGTGATCACCCAAAGCCCCATGCATTCAACAATCGATCATCACTACTCTCCCTTAAAGGGTAAATGATAAAGCAAAAAGATATGAGATGATATGCTATCTTTCCTTTCTTACAATATGTCTTCATAACATGCATACATAAGGATTCCTCACCCCTCATATCCCTTCTTTCTCTATTTCCAATGTTCGATTTCTTTTTTTTTATTTATTTATAATTTTGCTGGCTTCGATTTCTGAAATGCTTCATATCAATAGCATATAGAAGACACAAACGAATTATCGATATGGTGGTATCAGTAACCAAACGATATTTTTCTCCCATTCCTTAAAATTATGCTAGTGTACACATTACCTATTGAGGACACCGACAAACTGTTGATCATATAATGTCAGCACCATGACGATGATTTTAAGGTCATCGACTCGATTCCTATGGATAGTGAGTCTATTATTTATCTATTATCTTAAATATTGTAGTAGTGTAGATGTAAATAAAATCTCAAATTTTTATGGGTTCCTTAACGGGGGAAAGAAAAGAGGTTATACTGTGAATCTTGAAATCATAAGTTATAGGATCAAAATCCTACGTTAAAACTTAAAACTAAAAATCACATGACCAAATCTGCCTTTTGGGATGCGAAAGAAAAACTTCCTTCTATTTAATGGGGTTTGGAGGTTCTGGGTCCAATTAACTCTCTATCTGCCATTCCGTCTCACGTCTTAGGCTTAGCCCATTCAAGTTCATGTCCAGCCCAACCAAAAAGGTCATTGACGGCACCCACAAATCACAATCCTAGCTAGCTAGGCCCATACGTCAATGCATGCATGTTATCTGTCCTACGGACGTAGGCTTTTCCATCTCATTGACCCACTTTAATTTCTTCGTAGAAGGTATCTCGAGTAACTAGCTAATTTTGTAATATATATACATAATAGGCATAACACATCAATAGTAGCAACAAAGACATAGATTTTATACGCGGATTGTGGATAGAAAATGTCATGAACCAACTAGTATCCATATCTCGAATTATTGCAGGAGTTCCACACACAGAGAATGGATTGACGCTTAAATAAAAAGTGTTTAAGGAGTCGGTGTTACATTAATACTAGCTATCACACGTCTGAGTATATAGTAACTCTAGCCGTATCTAATCTGTACACAACATAAACAAATTTATAGCTCACAAGAATGCGAGGACTACATCAACATATTTATATACTTGTCATTTCAAACCAAGAAAATCACGCATCGCACACGTGCCACAACACAGTTTCTTAAACCTTGAGCTATGTAAAATCCTACTCAACATCGATGAATTGCTTAGCTTTGCTTATTGAGAAGCTACGTACGTACGTAACACAGGTTGTTCTTAATTAATTATATTCGTCTTATTAGGTTTTGACTTTCTTGATCGTTACATCACATGTTTGATGTTTCGTATAATTTCATGTGTTGGTTTCCGGAGTTTGGAAAGGAGTGAAGATCGATGAGACAATCGTGGAGAGGACAAATGGCAACGCCCGGTGCCGGCCGCCGTTTGCCCAATAATTCTTTAATGCAAGCAAAACCGTCGCCGTGGCTAACGGGTCCTCGCTCCCGTTCCAATTTCACATCTCGTATTTTTTTAGGATCCGGCGAAGTTGAAAGTGATTACTATCCTGTCGTCAAATGTAGTGTAGGAAGCACCACTCAGGGGCCAGGGTGGTTTGGATGAAGGGAATTTTGGATTGTGGTGGAAAGGTAAAATATGTGGAATTTAATTCGATGAAATTTACATGGAAAGGAATCATTGAAATATTGTTATGTGAATAAATCATTTTAGAGAAGGAATTGTGTTAATTTGTTGTTTCAAACCATGGATATATAGGATTGACAAATCATACCTATATGATAGAGAATTGAGATGAAGGGATTGAAGGTTAGAGAGTTTGAGAATTGCATCCATTTAAATTCCCACTTTTATCTATCTAATGAAACGTTGCAATTTCTGAAATTCTGTCATTTAATAAATTATACACATAATTTAATCAGTTAGCTAGTTTCGTCATCTAAACCACAAGGGACAAAGCTACACTTGTCTCTTCCCTCCCAATAATTTTTTAAGTTACGTGTGTATTAGATTCAAATTCTCGATGGCTGTTCGATTAATATACCCACGAGTAGTTTAATCACAAAAGTCTTTTGTTTACAGTAATCACCTTTGATTACAATATATTTAGATGATATTAAGTACGAATTTATTGAGGAAAACAAAAGCTGAAAGACAAAAAAAGAACATCATTGGCCGGCTTAATTACCATAAAAATGTTCCCTCTACTCTCTATAGAAGTCGTATAAATTAAATAGTTGACGTGAAGTACAATAGAATGGCCAGCTTAATTTCCATAAAAATGTTCCCTTTACAATAATGATATTTTGTTTCTGTATATTTAGATGATAATAAGATCGTCGTTGCATTTGATGAAGTGCCCAATTCTCTTTTGTTCTTGATATTCAGATAGTCCTAATTGGGGGCTACTTGTCTCATACAGAGATATTGGATGATATCCTTCATGATCTGATACAGATTTTGTGATCTCCTACATCAAATCTTTTAGGCAGAACAGAAACATAGATAGTCCCCATTGATTGAAACTCAAACTTGACAAACTGAAAATTACTATTCTACTGTCACTAGCTAGAAGGGGGAGAATAATTGATACTCGATATATTAAGAATAACTTATTCTTGATATATATTCGATTGTGATTTGATCGATAAGTCCTGTATTTGAATATGCATGGCTCATAATATTAACTGTTTATTTTAGCATAAGGGATAGTGAATCTATCAATCATCCAATCCAAACATGTCCAACCATGAAAATTCGTTGGCTTCCTCCTTGACTGTCCAATCATATGAATACATTGTAAGTGGAATTTCAGTCCTCGGGTATGAGGGATTGTGGAAAAAGGCCTATTATTGATTGGAATTATGGTGGGGGATATATGACAAAAACAAGAGCATATGCAAGTAAATAATTATCATGGGCCCATTGATTTGTCACCATGCTGTAAATCCAACACCTATATTTTGGATTTCAAAGTGTACGAGGTTCAAGAATTTGGTCCTTCTACCAAATTCATAATGATTATGAATTTGTATCTAAATCCCTGCTTCAAAATCCATAAAGCAAATCATTCAGAATTTTTTTTAACAATCACTCGAATTCGAATCAATTACTGATTATCCAATCAATAACAATTTTCGAATTTCATAACAATTTAAACCAATGTGTATATCAATCGATAGTAGAAAAAACGAAACTTCAATATAATTAAGGTTATATTGAGAGAGAACCGGACACTTACTCCAAGTGGCCCTTGTGAGGGGCAGTCCAACCTAAAAAATGATAACCCTCCATAAATCCACTAAACAACAACCATAAACAGCCACCAGACTCTAGATTTGTCATTAGCGCGCGATTAATACACAATTGGTTCTGCCGCCACAATTGCTCACTCCCCAACCCATCCCATCCTAGTCCCACTATATATACAGGGAACCAGCAAGCTCACTACCCCACCACTCATTCCTCGCCGGGAAAACAAACCTCTTCCGGCGTAAAAAAAACCCCTTCTCCCCCAGCTCCGGCGAGATGGCTCCCCTGCCCTCTCACCCAATCACCACCCGCCACGTCCTTTCCCAGCTACTCACCCTCCTCCTCATCCACTCTTCCGCCACAGCCGCCTTGCCGGTCAACGTCTGGCCCAAACCCACCTCCATATCCTGGTCCTCCCCGCACACGATCGCCTCCCTCTCCCCAACCTTCCAACTCGATTACCCCTCATCCAACCGCTACCTCTCCGCCGCCGTCTCCCGCTACCACCGCCTCATCTCCTCCGAGCGCCACCGCCCCATATCCGACCCCACCGCCAAATTCTCCACATCCCCCACTCCCCTCCAATCCCTCTCCATCTCCGTCGCCGACCTCGCCGCCCCGCTCGTCCACGGCGCCGACGAATCCTACACCCTCACCATCCCCAATTACGCCGCCGCGGACGCAACCGCCAATCTCACCGCCGCCACCGTGTGGGGCGCCATGCGGGGGCTGGAGACCTTCTCCCAGCTGGTCTGGGGCCGGCTGCACGGGCGGCGCGTGCCGATCGGGATCGAGATCCGCGACGCGCCCCTGTTCGGGCACAGGGGGTTTCTGCTGGATACTTCGAGGAATTTTTATCCCGTGGAGGATATTCTGCGGACGATTCGGGCGATGAGCTACAACAAGATGAATGTTTTCCATTGGCATATTACGGATTCGCATTCTTTCCCGTTGGAGCTGCCGTCGGAGCCCGGGCTCACGGCGAAAGGGGCGTACGGAAGGGGGATGAGGTATTCGGTTGCGGATGTGGGTCGGGTCGTGCAGTACGGGTACGAGCATGGGGTCCGGGTTGTGCCCGAGGTCGATACTCCCGGTTAGTACTCTGTTTTTTCCTCCTTCTTGTTTGTTTTCGTTCCAAATTATTGTTTTTGCTTAGTGTTTGTTTAATTGTTCTTTGTGTTTAATTAATCATTGGGAATTGGTGGGGTCCGTATTTTAAAATTGGACTGCCATCGACTTCATCGATAGAGTTGATTAACTCCTATAAAACAAATGATCCGTTGAGTCAAACAATGTTTTTCATACAGTCACGTAATATCATGTGAAATAAGTAATATACAAAAGAGGTAAATAGTGTTTATTTTACTTTAAGAGATTTACATTATGATAACGTAAGATTTGTGACCATTATAATCATACAGCCGGTTTGAACCTTGAGACTGATAGTGACTCGTATTAAAGAATGATAAATGAAAGACATTGTTGATTAAATGCTAGATATCATCCTCATGTAATTTGCATATATTTAAGCTTGCTGATTTCGATCCTCCTTAATGAATAAAATGATATAACTTCAAATATGTAAGATACTGATTTCAGTCCTTAAAGAGTAAATATACAAATATGATGTAATTGAAAAACTCACTTTTAAAAAGTGAATCACTCGTATATATTTTTTTAACTTTATCATTTTTATATAAATGTACTAAACTGAATAATAATTTTGCTAACGATCCAAAAAAAAAAGCATTTTGCTATTGGAGAAATCACTCACAAATGCACACAATAGTGAATAGACCTATGAGCTGCCAAATTTATCCATTGTTTTTTATAAAAATTGAGTAATTTGACTTCAAGACTCACAAAAATATGATTAAATCTGTTAATATATTAATTGCATTGTTTCTTACGTGGGACAAAGGAGAGTGACAATGGCAACAAAACACTAGCTACCTAGTGCCTAATGGATTGATCCAAACTAATCCTCTTTAATTAATCACTAATTATTTCTCTGTCATTTTTTGCAGCACACACGGGTTCCTGGGCCGGAGCCTACCCGGAAATAATAACCTGCGCGGACAAGTTCTGGTGGCCGGCCGGCAGCTCATGGGCCGACCGGTTAGCCTCCGAGCCAGGAACCGGTCAGCTCAACCCACTCCACCCCAAAACCTACACCGTCGTCGGAAACGTCATCAACGACATCGCATCATTGTTCCCTGACCCATTCTTCCACGCCGGCGCCGACGAGGTCGTCCCGGGTTGCTGGAAAACCGACCCGTCCATCCAATCCTTCCTCTCCCAAAACGGCACCCTCAGCCAGATCCTCGAAACCTTCATCAACAAGACTTTCCCCCAAATCATTTCCCACAACAAGACCGCCGTGTACTGGGAAGACGTCATCCTCGACGCCGGCATCAAAGTCAACCCGGCCGTTTTTCCACCGGAGCACACCGTGTTCCAGACGTGGAACAACGGGCCCAACAACACCAAGCTGCTCGCCGCGGCCGGGTACCGTGTCATCGTCTCCTCGTGGGAGTACTACTACCTGGACTGCGGCCACGGCGACTTCCTGGGGAACGACAGCCAGTACGACCCGCCGCCGACGAGCAGCGACGTGGACAGCAACGGCGGGTCGTGGTGCGGGCCGTACAAGACGTGGCAGAAGGTGTACAACTATGACATCACGTATGGGTTGAGTGAGGTGGAAAAGGGGAAGGTGTTGGGTGCTGAGGTGGCGTTGTGGTCGGAGCAGGCGGACGGGACGGTGCTCGACGGGAAGGTTTGGCCGCGAGCGGCGGCGATGGCGGAGGCGATGTGGTCGGGGAATCGGGACGAGAAGGGGAGGAAGAGGTTTGCGGAGGCGACGGATCGGTTGAATGAGTGGAGGTATAGGATGGTTGGGAGAGGGATTAAGGCCGAACCGATTCAACCGTTGTGGTGCCTCAGGAACCCCGGAATGTGCAACACGGTTCAACCGTTCGTGCCCCAATGAGACATCATTAAAGATCATGTACAAGAGAGTCGACGATAAAATTGTGTTACAATCGTACTAGTTTGATCTCTAATACGCAGTTGAAACAGAGTGATCGAGATGTTACCGCTTACAAAACAGAGGAATGATTTGTGTCCCAGGAGTTTTGGTTTCTGCCATTTGGTTAATGTTCAACCATATGTACTTGTTGCTTGCCGGGAATGATTTGTAACATTTTGATGAATGGAAAAAAGCGGTTGAATGTGGTCAATTGAGATTTGACTTTTTTTCTTACAGTTTTCTATCTGCGGTAGAGATAGACACCAAGAGAAGCACGATCAGTAGTCTGGCTACTTGATGATGAGGCGGCATTCGGGTTTCCACCATAGAAGAAGTACATGCCTATCATCATCATTTTGTCCTCGTGGTAGCAGATGTTGTAAGTAGCTTGGCTCTTGTAATTGCTCTTCTTCTCATCTCCATTAATGCCATCCTCTGCTTCTTGATCATGGTGAGGAAAATCATCTTCATCTTCATCTTCATCTTCTCCTCCTCCTTCGTTTGTTCTCATATATGCTTTCTCAATGTCTCCGTGTCTAACAAGGCGGCATCCTAACCTCATTACCTTCAGTTCTTCGCAGCCTTCGAGCTCGACACAAACATGGCGCTGCCCTTTCAGGTACTCTATGAACTTATAGTAAGGGATGAAAAAGTACCAGAGATGGTCTCCTGGTTCAACAACTTCTTCTTCTGGCTCTTCTGCATATGTGGCATACTTCCTCTTTCTGGAGAAGCTACATTTTCCGTAATCCTCATTTTCATATTCATCATCTGAATCTATTGAGTACTCAACATCGTCGTCGTCATCATCATCATAATCCGATTCGACCTCACTATAGTATGCATCACTAGCTTCATTGCTTAGTTCGCCATCTGGGGCTGATGAATCCTGATGGTAGAAGGATTCATTAACGCCATCATAACAGTCGTCATCTAAAGCATCTGAATTCGATGAATACTCACGCATTTCAGCATCATTGTCATCGTCGTCGTCGTCATCTTCATCGTGATAATTTGTGTCCATTCCATCATCATATGTATCACGAACTATGTCATCTAGTTCGCTATCTGGTGCAGCTGCTGACGAGCCCTTATGATGTACGGATGCATCAGCACCGCCATCACCACGGTCGTTAGGATCCGCCACTTTGAGAGCTACACAAATCGCGAGCCCCATTATGTCGTGATCATCATCATCGCCGAGATCCCTCTTACGATAAATCGATGGAATCGGTATCTTCACTGAGATTCCTTCATCCTGATGAGTGAACCATGTCGGAATCCTGCTTCCAGGAACCACAATGCCTGATCTTTCCCTGGGAAGCAGGGTATTCCAGCAGCCCTGATCAATCCAAAAGGTAAATGAAGAAATTTTCTGAAGGTATCTTTTCACCAATTCTACAAATGAAATAGTTGGGAACTTAATGAGAATCACAATTCACAAGATCAAATTACCTTGAGGTATCTCAGGAACATTTTAAACCCATCATTCTGGCGATTCTGCAACTTCGGGCAGCCAAAGCCTTCCAGGAAAAACAAGTTGCTGCGAACCTTAATCGGGTTTGGCAACTTCTCCAGCGATTCGCAACGATTCACCACCACGTACTTGATCCTCGGTGGAAGCTCCGGCAAGGACTTGAGCATCTTGCAACTCTCCAGGTGAAGCTCATAGAGCTTCAGCATTTGTGCAATTTCAGGCAGGATGACAAAGTTGTTATGGCTTAGATCCAGAGAATGTAAAGACGGCAAATTACTACCCAAGTCCTTGGGGAAATCCCCTGCCATCAGACCACAATTTGCCAAGTTCAAGATCCTCAAGAAAGGGAACCCAATTCCATAAAGCTGAGGCAACCCTTTTTGATTGTTGAGGTAGAAATTGGAGAGCAGTGGACTTCTGATGGCGGTACCACTCACATCAAGCTCTTCCAAGCTCTCAACTTTTTCCAACTTGTCAAGTTGAGAGGATCCAGAGAGGTTAAGAACCTTCAAGTGCTTTAACCTGCTGATGCTATTTGGGACAGCCTTGAGGCTCTTGCAGTCTTTGAGGCTCAGTTTTGATAGAGAGGTGAAGAAGCGGATCGATTCGGGGAGTTGTTCAATGTTGGTGCCATCAAGTAGAAGTTCTTGTAGAGATTTCATTTTCCTAACATTGTTTGGGAAGTTGGTGATCATGTTGCAGCCATTAAGATTCAGGTGGATGAGGTATTGGAGATGCGTTCCTATAGTTGGATTAATCTCATTCAGACTGGTGCAGTCCTCCAAGACCAGCCTCTCTAGCTTTTGCATTGCACTGAAATCTGGAGTGTTGATTAGGTTGTGGGAGTGGCTCAGGTTTAGGGACTTCAAGTTGCTGAAATCCTGTTGAGTGCAGAGTTGCACATACATCAGTAAGTTAATCATAACATATAGGGTAATTCAACTTTGCAGTCCCTATACATGTTTTTATAATAAATTTAACATGTATAATAAAATTTTCAATGTACTATGATTACTCGTCCATTTTGAGAACATTTCCTAGAATTTAGTCAAAATATGTTGTCAGTCAAATCGTTCAATGCTTAATAACAACTTATTCTGTATTCATATGCCGCATATACTTGAAATTCTTTTTTTTTTTCCCCTTTTACCTAGATCATTAAGCATGAAATAACGGATATGGGTATGAAGATGATAGGATAAGTGAGATTAGAGAGCCAAATTGAAATGGAAAACACAAAAAAAAAAAAAAAAATCCAACATAAGTGCAAGTAACCATAGATCGATCTAATAACATATATGAATACGAAAAACGATAATACGAGTTACCTTAGTCTTTCCACAACAGAGTTGCTTTATGCTACTATGGCACAAGCTAAGCTCCACAAGGTTGTTTGGCCTGAAAGAAGCTGGCAAAGACTGTGAAGGATAACCATCCCAATCAATATATCTTAATCCATTTGGAAGACTTGCAGGGCCTTGGTCAAATTTCACATTTCTCATGACGAGCAATCTCAAGTTGTACATTTTCAAGAAAGCATCCTCATTGAGCTCCATTTGCTCCATATCCTTGTCTGACACATCCAACACTATAGCTAGTACCTCTTCTGTTCCCTGCATAGGGTAAAAAACGATCATATACAATTCAAACTCAAATTCAAATTTTAAATTCAACATCAATTCTTATCATACAATTATAAGAAAAAAAACCCTAATATCATGTAAAAAAAATGTTTGTATGGTTATACTTACGATAGCTTGCTCGAAAACATAACGAACATCTTCCAAACTCCACAAACGTTTGCGCTTTCCAGGATTATGAGGAGATTCTCTCCTCTCGATTTCTCTCCCCATCTCTTGCAACAAGTCATGCATCTCCAACTTTCCATAAGAAATTGTCATAAGGAACCTCTCAGTCAGGATCTCCAATCCATTGTCAACATCAAACCCACAACTGGTGAGTATCCTTTTGCCTTCACTTATATCCTTCCCCTTGAAGAAACAAGCAACATCCAAAAACAACCCTTGTTCATGTGCCTCCAACCCATCAAAACTTATCTTAAGAACTCCAAAAATGGAATTTTCATAGTATTCCTCCTTTAGCTTTGCAATTCGACTCTCCCAATCATGTTTGCTTCTTCTCCCATGAAGAGAACGACCCAAAACTTTGATTGCCAATGGAAGCCCTTGACAATACTTCAAAACACACTTAGAAAGCTCCTCATACCCTTCTTTAGGCTCTTCTTGGTCAAATGCCTTCAAACTTAGTAGCCTAAGGCTTTCCGTATCACTCAATTTCTCGAGGTTATATACCTCACCCGAACTTCCATACATGTCTATTAATCTTTTATCCCTGCTCGTTATAATGATTCGACTTCCTGAACCGAACCAATCTCGATTACCAGCAAGTGCCTCCAATTGTTGAGGGTTATTCACGTCGTCCAGAACGATGAGAACATTCTTGTCTCCCAAGCAATCCCTTATCATCGTCTTTCCCTTCTCTTGGTCCCATATCCTGATGTTCTTTTCCATGAGGATGTTCGAGAGGAGGTGTTCTTGAACATGCATTGCTCCATGCTTCTCGAAAGATTCCCTAACGTTGGGAAGGAAACATGATCTCCCTTGGAATTGGACTTGTAGGTTGTTGTAGACGACTCTAGCTAACTCTGTTTTGCCAATGCCGCCCATCCCACAAATTCCAATGACTCGAACGTTAGCTTCTGAATCTTGACCTATGAGCTTGCTGACTTCCTCGACTCGTGAGTCCATTCCGACCAAGTGTTCGTCCATGATGGTTTTAGACATCTGGTTTAGTAAGTCCCATATGCGTTCAGCAATTTTGTCAACTACTTCTGCTTGATCCCTGAAGAACAAAACAAGGTTCATTAGGTGAGCAAATCGTTGACTCATTGTTCGAATTCAAGTATTTATCGTAAGAACTATAGACCGTCTGGATGCTATTTCAGCTTGATCCATCGAGAATAAATAAGGATGATGGGAATAGGAATTGATTGGTAAATGGTTATTCGATCATCGACTAAAATCGATAACCGAATTGATAATTAGTGGTTAACCGCTAATCAAACAATTTTTTGCAGTTCGGTTATTGGTTAGCCAATTTTGCTTAATGGTTAACTGATAAGCATACCGATAGGACTAGTATAACCGTACAATCTTAAGCTAAGTGAAAATGTCCATAATTGAAGACCAAACAAAGTAGACATTTTAAACATCTCAATTCACACCTATTGCAAAAACCTTCCACCCATAGTTCCAAATGTGTTAAAGAGTCGGAACCCTAAAGTCGCCCTTCTCTTCAGCTACCTTTGCAGTACGGAGCGAACTTCACTCCACATTAGTCTTTGCTTCTTTGATGTTTGTGAATGGTGATGATCTTGTTGTGTTTGTGTTTCATGTCAAGCTAGTTGATGCTCACTAACTGGATGAACACGTTGAATTATTTCTAATTTGAAGTGTTGAAATTTGAATTATGAATTTACCATGGATGATATATTGTATTCATTTCATTTCTTATGATCTGCTGTTTTGTGTTAATGATGTATAACCATAGTTAAATATTTTTGAACTAACTTATATGATTATATTTTATTATTTAAAAGAAAATCACCAAAAAAATAGCAAGGATAAAAGAAAATGTCACATGTATTGTTAACCTCTAAACACACAAGTGATTAATTGATAGGAATTATTAGTAATATTCAAAATAAGTTAATGGTTAACCGAAAACAAACTGAGATGAAAACATGAGAACATTATGAATTGGACGTCATGATGATTGGGATCAGGGTCAACTAACTTTTGGCCTCCTAAAGTCAAGAAAAGGTACTATATATTGAAGCTTAATTAAGTCACCAACTTTTTTATTAGGTTCTTGAAAGTAATCAAATTGGAACTGTACGTCTATATCTAATGAATTTCCACTACTTGGGATTGGGGTTAGGGCAAGTTGAGATTACTTAATATGGACTCCTGGCTATATGTACGTTGACTAATTCAATTTCACATGTTGTCTCTCAATTATGTAACATTTGTTTATGTGGCCCTAGACTATTATTGTTAATAATTCATTGACCAAAACATCCCTCTCTAGTTACTTCATTTCCATCCTCAAATGTTAATTAAAATGCATACTTAAAGGTACTAAAACCAAACAACATCAAAATAAATGGAAACAACAACATCAATTGGCAAATTTAGACATGGTACTCAAAATTTTACCTCAAGTAAAAAGGGTACTATGTTGAAGCTTATTTAGCACAAAGAGATGGAAGCAAATTAAAAAAGACTTACTCGTTTCTGGCATCCCAGCCAACTATCTCCCCGACTTCATCAAGAGCTTCCTTCCATCTCCTCTTCTTCTCCTTGTAATTTACCCCGCAAGTTTTCTCGTGACGACGAAACGCCCTCTTTCGATACTTTGCATCCATCGGATCCACGTCGTAGAAAACAGGAAACACGGTATGACCCAACAGCCTCTTCTTGCACTCGACGATCTTGACAAGTTCCTCCAAGCACCACGCAGACGCCGCGTAGTTCTTGGAGAACACGATGATCGAAAACCTCGATTGCTCGATGGCTTCGAACAACGATGGCTCGATGGAATCGCCTCTCTCCAGCTCGTTGCTGTCCCTGTATGCCTTGATCCCTCGTCGAGTCAAGGCGCCGTAGAGGTGGGCGGTGAAGTTCCTGCGAGTGTCGCGCCCTCTGAAGCTCAGGAAGACGTCGTGTTTCCATGATCGATGAGGTGGATGGTGAGAATGGGAAGAAGAAGAAGAAGCAGGAAGATGAGGAGGAGGAGGAGGAGGAGTCATTCTTTGTTGAATGGAGGTCATGTGGTTTTGCCTTTGTAATATAGTTTATTGCCCAATATGATATATGCACTTGATATTTAGAAAACTTGTTAATTCCTTGGTGGTTGAGAAAGAAGTTTCCCTGTCTTCTTCCTAGTTAGCTATAGGTTAAAGCGCCTAACCTAAATAGGACTATGTTTTTAGAACAACTTATAATATAGTAGGCTAAGGTTCATGATGATCTTCAAGTTGTCGAAATCATGCAACGTTAAGATGGTTAACATATCAATTTTATCGGGTATTCTCGAAAAGACGAGATTATCGAAGTTGCGGACAGTTGACATCCATATATAATATGACAATGTTTGGTTCCGAATTTTTGATAGTGTGTCAATTTAACAAATACATTAATGTATTATGACTTTCAAGCGTAATACATTCTTGTAATTCATTTATTCAGTTATAGTACAACTTTGATAATTTTTGTTTGAATAAATTATTTGTAAAAACAAATTCTACTCGTAACACTTGTTACGTACTTATTAAATGTGATAATTGTTAATGACCCAATTTCTTGTATCCTTCAAACTCTCCTTTTTTCCCTCCTATACCAAAACTTCACTTTCCAATTGAAGCCCTTGGCAATACATCAAAATACACTTGAAAAAGCTCTTCATACCCTTCTTAATTAGGCTCTCCTTGGTCAAAGGATTCTAGATCGAGTAGCTTCAGGCTTTTCTTATCACTCAATTTCTTGATGTTATACACTTCATACGTTGTATTTTTTTTTTATGTGATCTTAATATTTTGTTGGCAACAATTAGTGATGACTTTTTTTTGGGTCGATAAAGAATGACTTTTGGAGTGCTTGGTATTGGAGCAAAGTCAAGGTGACAACTAAAGCAACGAATAATTTACAAGTTGGATGATTAGTTAATTGACCCTAGCTTATATTGACCGATTGAATGGAGTTAGTATGTAGTTTTATATCTAACCAATGGTTACAATTAGTTTGACCTGTTTTGCCCTAAAATACCACCACCTTTTTCCAAAAATCGCGGCCTCGTATGCCGGTTTATACGAAAAGCGCAGTGGGTGTCGCGGTTTTTCGTTTCTGCCGGCTGAAAAGTGCATGAGATCGCTGCAGTCAGATTGATCGTGTGTCACCTCAGCGATCCGGCTAAAAACTGCCACTTCACCCCGCGGTTTGCGTATGAATTTTTTTTTAAAACTTCAAATTAACATAACTTTGCGCTCTGGTATCCGATTGTTGTGAATTTTTTTTTATTCCACATACTTTTTCGAGATCTTGCAATCCGCAAACGTCGTAGGCAATTTGGTCTCGCCTTCGTCTCGAAAAACATTGTTTGCTACCACGAACGAGCAAATTTTCTATTCGTCAAACTTTAGAGGACCATAACTTTGTGCTCCGCAATCCGAACGTCACAAATTTTTTTTATGCAAGTTCCATTTCTCACAGATAATCTTCGATCCAACTCGTACTTTTATTATTTGTCAAATCTGAACTCAAGAATCAAAGATGTTACAATTTTATTCAAGCCAAATGGAAAGTAGCGCCGACGAAATGAAGAAACAACCCAATAAAAAAAACATGACACGTCGAAGAAACTCCTTAACATTTTTCGAGCAGGTCATAGAGTTGACAAACAAACCCATCAAGGTACCTCTCCTGCAAATTCCCATCCCCCAAAACCTCCCTCAGCTTCAAATGATTCTCCCTCACCACCCTTCCAATCTCGCTCCCTTCATCCATCACCATTTCAATGGCTTCACTCAACTTCTCCTTGCTCACCCAACCCTCCTCGTCCTTCTCCACCTCCACGCCCACTTTCAAATCTTTCGTCATCAACATCGTCCCCACGATCTGATCGTTCTGCTTGGGGACCAGCACGATCTGGCAGTCGCTCAGCAGCGACTCCCACATCGAACCGAACCCACAGTGGCTCACGAAGCACCCGACCGACGGGTGGTCCAGAATCTGCAGCTGCGGCACCCACCCACCGCACACCAACCCTCTCCCTCCCTCGCCGTCGATCACCCTCTCCGCGAAACCCTCCGGAAACCCCTCCTCCATCGTCGCGCACCCTTCCGATGGCTTCAGCACCACCAGAAAAGGCCTCCCACATAACTCGAACCCTCTACAGAGAATAATATAAGATTCATAATTAACCTTCCACTTCCAATATTAACAATTCTTCTATCTTTTAAACACAGAGTATGCGAATCCTGTACGAGCGTCAAATTCATAAATTAGCTTTCCTTTGAGAGAATAAGGGTTTGGTCTAGTGGTAATATCACTAGTTTAAAATCTAAAGGTTCCGAGTTCGAATCTATTAAATAGTATATTAATAAAATAAAAATGAAACATGTATCACCCTTATAAAAAATAATGTAAGAAAGTTATTTGAGATCCAATATTAATTTTTTCCCCAATAACTCCGGTTATATATAAAACAATTATGAAAGAAGCTAATAAAAAAAACTAGAAACCTCACCGGAGAAGCTCTTGGAATTGGTCCTTTTGGAGAAGGCTCTCGCTGCCAAACGCACAGTACACCACCGATCCTCGCGGGTATTTCGACAGCCATGCGGCCCATTTCTCGTCCAGGCCCAGCCTGTGATCCCTATCCGGCAGAATCGGCCCAGTCAGCAAGGCCCGTTTCCCGTACTGCTCCTCCATGTACTTGACAAACACGCCTTCCAGCTCCCAGCAGGTCCTCAGCGCCATGGCGTCGCCGCCCGAAACTGACGTCACGATCCGGTCGTACAGCGAGACCGAACCGAAATTCTCGGCGAAGATCCTCGACTGCTTGATCTCGTCGGGCCGGGGCACCACCGCCGAATGCGGCGGGTAGCCCGGCGGCGTCCTCGCCATCTCCTCGTCCGTCATCCCCTTGGCGAGCCTCGCGGAGGGGACCAGCCGGAGCGCCCCCACCGCGGCGGAGACGACCCCGTAGGTCATGGTGAGGAAGCCGAGCTCACGCCCGATGCGTGGGACCCACATGGCCGAGTCGTAGAGGACGACGTCCAGGGGTCCCACGCGCGACACGGTGGACCTGAACTGGTCCTCCGTGGCGTCCAACGCGGCGAAGAGTAAGGGGGTGAGGTGCGGGGGCACGTCGGCGGTGGTCTCTGCGCCACGTGGCAGGCCGTCCACGTGGGGGACGGCGATTGGGTGGAAGGTGATGAGGTGGGGGTGGCGGTTGAGGGGGGCGAGCTTGGCGAGGGTGGTGGGGCCGGGGAGGAGGAAGTGGACGCGGTGGCCGCGGGCGGCGAGGCGGTTGGAGAGGTGGATGTACGGGGTGATGTGGCCGATGGCGAACCATGGGAACATGGCGACCTTAAGCTGCGGCTGTTTCCTCGTCGCCATTTTGCCAAGATCGCCGCCGGTGGAAATTAAGACGAGGCGGGACAAAAATTTAATTAGTTAGTTGCAGGCAGGTTAGGTAGTGCGTGGCATTTTTTTTTTCAGTCTTGGATGAGTTCGGTTATATACACACATGAGTCATGACACACCATGAACAAACAAGTACAGAGAATGATGGGCGGCAAATAAATGATGAGCGACGTGTCATTTTCGTAATAAATTACATTCAACGTTTAGCAAATCTCATTCAGTATACTACGTAGCTTAGACGGGATCGCCTGTTCCAAAAGTGTGGAAGAGGCCTCAAATGAGGAAGAATAGAATTGAAGAGAAATCAGATTAATTTATGTTTAGAGTGTTGATAAAGAATTGACTGAATTGGTGTTTAGTAGGGAGGACAATCAAACTAATGGTCGTGGGTAATCGATTATTCCTGACCTAATTAACGTGTGGAATTCATATACTGATTGGGTGTGGGTAAAACTAGGGCTGGCTATTTGGTTGGGTTTTTTTGGTTTTACCCGAAACCGGACTGTATAACCCGGATCGAGACCGGATTGCAAACAATCCAATACAATCCAATTTTTGGGCTTATATTTGAGGTAAAAAACCGTTCCGGATCGAAAACTGGATAAAGACCGGATGAGAGAGCTCAACACCCAAAACTTAAGGGTAATTTGCATAAACGGTCACAAACCTTTGCACTTAGTACAAAACTTAACCAACTCCTCACTCTTTCAGGCCTTAGGCCACTCAAATCCCCACAAGCTCAATATAAAATCAACACCGAATTGGGACCGGACCGGATCAAGACCGGTTTGTATCCAATCCAATCTTTGGCCCTTTTATTTTCAAAAAGACCGGACTGGACCTGATCCATTTGGGCCAATTTAACCGGACCGGACCGTATAGCCACCCCTAGGTAAAACCCGTAAAACGTTTGTTGGATATTGGACGGGTATGGTTTTAGCCTCCCCGCCTCATACCATACTTATTTTCGCCCCATCGAGAGCATTTCTTTACATATAAAAAAATACATGGATCAAATTGTAACCTATCAATGATAGTGAGAGTAACTCAAGAAAAAAATTATAGTAAAAATGCAATTGAATGACCACCCAAATCAAAATCTAAATTATGCTCTACCTTAGTTAGTTAGTTATTACTTAACAGATGTATGAAAGTCATAGAATAATGATTTAAATTATGCTCTACCTTATGGATTAATGGATGTTTTGAACTGTATTAAGAATGATTGCTTTTTGTCGACTTCATAATATAGTATGTGCGTTTAGTGTTGTAATTGAAAATTTACATATAAAATCTTAGTTATATAATGTTGGATGTAAAATATTTAAACGATCAACTTTTTATTGATAAGTAGCCTGAATGACAATTACATCAGCAATTGATTTGGGAATGGTATCACCAACATAAACCACACACTACAATTAAAAGATATCACAGCACAGAGTTCCATTCTCTAGCCTTGGCATCTTCTCTTTTCCTGAGAAAGTCAATCCGCTTTCACAGTTAACGGCTCCAAACCATATCCTGCTCTGCTATTTCCGGTCCAAATATATAAAACGGCTCGTCGTCCTTCAGCTATATATATATGTCGGGAGGCCATTTGAAATCTTCCTTCCAATTCCTTGGTGCTGCCACAACAGCTTTACCATCCCAATCTCTCTAACAACACATCCCATAATTTCAGAGTTATTGACTTATTTCCCATCTTCATTGACGTGAGCATGCATGGTAGAATTTGAGCTCTTGATCGAGTTGATTCCATAGGTTTGCGACAGGTTTTTCTTGTATCGATGTATGTTGAGTTGCTTGTTGTTTGGAGGTCTCTGTTTGTCGGCCTTGATGATGAGCTTTCCTGTTTCAGCAGGGGCTGGCTCAACGCGCACCTAATTACCTAGATGTGTTTTTTTTTTCTTCTTCTTCTTTTCTTCTTTGTGTCGTTTTTGTTTCTTTTCCTGTATTTCCCTGGGGTTCGGTTCGGATCTTGTGATTTTTCTTTCTTTCTTTGGACTACTTTCTGTATTAGACGGTCTTGCTTTGACTTTCAGCATTAGTAGTATCGTTATCCTCTCGCTTTTATAAAAAAAAAAAAAAAAAAAAATACATACTAGTATGAAAATAAGAACATCAACCCACCGCTTTACAGGTTCGAACAATTTGTAGCCAAAATTCAAATAGGCAAAACAAAAATACTTACTAGGAGGGTGAAAATATTCTTTGCAAAGAGTGAACGTAATTCACGACTCTATCATAATACTAATTACCCGATCTCGAGCTTTCGTACAGACACCCTCGTTCCGTTCCTCTTGTTTTTCCCAACAAAGGGAAGGGAAGGGAAGGGAGTTAGGTGCGATGAGTGGTGATGAGTGCGTCGTTGTGTACAAGATACAGTTAGTTATTAGACTGGACCACCAATCCACCATCCATACCTCCAATTTATGGCACTGACAAGGCTGCTCAATTTGTACGTATGTCATTGATATAAAACAGGTTAGGTTAGGTTAGGATAGGACCTGCAACGTACACACAGCTCAGCATGACCACTGACAAGGCTGCTCAATTTGTACGTGTGACTGGGGTTTATCCATTAGAGGTTAGGGTATAGTATCATACCACAAACTTGATTTAATTCATGGTCTAGATAGAGATATCTCACTAGTAGTACCTGACGTATAGTATACGCCTGACGTACGCCAGTCTGACCCATATATGGTAATATAAAATTTGATCAATTTATAATGTCATTTAAGTTCCTAACTCACAATTGTATTATAAAGAGTGTGATAACTTTTCTGATTTTTGTTCTTACGAGAACTTGAGAATTATTATTATTGTGTTAAGAATGACAAATTATTTATGTGGATTAAAAGAACTTTTGTTGTAATTTCTACTAGATAACTATTTTTATTTAATTATCAATTATTCATTTTTAAAGAGGACGCGCCTATATTTTGTTTAGGTCCGCCACTGCTCATCACTCCCAAGTCCCAATTTCTTACTTTTCATTATTTTTCCTTTGAATCAACGGTGGAGAGAGCCGAGGGTCATAGTTAGAGGGTTAGGTGCAACGAGTGGTGAGTGGTAGAACAAGTTAACAAGGGTACAAAGACAATACATAATGGTACTATGATAAAGGTACACAAATAATAATGATTTTCCTACGTACTTTGCAATAAATATCACCTAAAATGGGAGCTAATGTTTTTCACCCTACGTACGTAGACATATAATTAATATCAATAATCGTGGCTCGTACACAAAACAAAAATGTCTAAAGCATCCCTAATAATTTTGCTTTACCATGTTTGTACAAACACAAACTTGATTGTACAAAGATATTGGATTCTTGAGAATTGGGATGGATTTGATAGTAAAAAACCATAAATCCTTTCCTCAAAGATGGTAAGGTAAAGAACAAAATACATATTCAAGTATCATGGTTGTGGCTTCACCACACAATTGACCATCAAATACTAACACTCTGTTGGCAACTATTGGGTGAAACCCTGAACAGAATGTCGGTGACGAACCGGAGGAAGGTGAGATTGTTTTGAGGTAGCTTGTACATCAAGCCTCCTGCATCCCCCCAAATTAAACAACGTAAAGTAATAGCAATCAGTAAACTAGGTTCAATAAGTTTAGTCAGGCCAAATCACAGTGACAATATACTAAAATCAGATCTCTTGGGTGATAATCTCAAACAAATTCAAGAACAATGCTTAATAACAGACCATACAAGTGAAGCTTATCATGTGAAGAAAAGAAACCAACCTGGGATACTGCTTGTGTCCCTTGAAAGGAGCCCCATTCACACGGCAATCGAATCTGGCGAATCAACTGCGGCAGATGGCTGCATCAGTGACTGATATGATTCCCACACGCTCAAATCTCTTGGTTTTACTTTGTAAAAGAGTCCAGCATCTCGCCGATATATCAGCCGGCCACCACACTGCTTCACGGTGATCTCCGGAGAGTGCATCTCGAAGGACAATTCAATGCTACCAAATCCCTCAGGAGGCCACTCCGACAAGCAGCCAAGGGAGAAGTAGAACGACCAGATGTGATCTGCGTAGCCTGATTCACTTTGGAAAGAAATGGAAGGCCAAGTGGAATCTAGCTTGCCGTTGACGATGAAGTGGCATGTCAGGAGAAAATGCTGATTGTCCAAAGTTTGAGGAAGCGGAACAACGGTGAAAATGGCACAAGCAGCAAAACCCATCCAGTTGGTATTCAAGTGCAAGTTAGGAGGCACTTCCAGGCTCACGGAGGATCCCTCGCTGTAATGGATGAACCACTTGGGAATTCCGGCACCAGGGTATACAATGTCAAATCTGGGCCTCGGTAGTGTCAACCCCTGTACCAAAATAGACAATACAAATGATTGCAAAGCTGCGATTTCTGCATGGCTTATGCTTTTGGAGTAAAAGAAACTCCCATAGAAAGCTGCATCAAACACACAGACTTACAAGCACAAATGGTGAGGTGGGAAGAAAGAAAATGTACCTGGATATATCGTATGATCATTGCGACTGCTAGCTTGTTGGAACCAAGAACTAAACGGGAACAATTGAAGCCAGTAACTAACTCGAAGCAATTGAAGCAGTAGATTTTCGAGGCTTTCCAGATACATAACTTGATTGGATCTGCAATTATTGTCAGGGAATCACAAAAGCTCGCTCTCACGAGAGAGACGTTTGGTGGAAGTACAGGTAGTGATTGAAGCTCCCAGCAATAATCCAAGTTGAGCTCTTCAAGCATCAGAAGTTGGTTTATGCTTGCTGGTAGGCTTGAGAATTCGTTGCCGCTGAGGTCCAAATACCTCAAGGAGGACAAGCAGCCAAGGTCATTCGGAACTACTTCGTCTAATAGATTGCAGAAACTCAAAGTCAGATTTCTCAATGCACAGAGAGACGAAAATGAAGGCAGCAACATTATTTGCAAGGGAGCAGCCGTGGATATGGCAGCTGATCTGAATTTCCGCATCCATTGTCTCGTAGCATTTGGCATGATCTTAGATAGCTTAGATTTTGGCTGATTCACTTTGAAATTATGTCCAAACCATGTGATATCAAGTGTCCTTATGGATTTCAAGCCACAAATGCTGCTGAGATCTTTAAGGTATACACAACCTTCAATGCTCAATAACTCCAAGCCAATCAACTTATCCAAGGGTGGGAGTTCCTTGATGTTAGTCCAATCCAGACAAAGCTCCCGTAGACCTTCCATTACCTCCAAAATATCAGGAAATCTCTCCAACTTTGAGCAGTAGCAAAGATCAAGCTTTCTAAGGGAGTTTAAACAACTTATGCTGCTCGGGAGGCCAATAAAGCGATTGCAAAATCTGAGGCTCAAGAGAACTAAGCCTGACAAATGTTGAATTGAGGAAGGCAGTTCTTCGATTGCAGTCTGATCTAAGTAGAGTTCTTCTAAACATTTCATACTAGCCTCAACATCTGGAAATCTTTTCAGTTTTAAGCAGCCTGAGAGATCAAGTTTTTTAAGGGATTTCAAGGTGGTTATGCTGCTTGGAATACTTCTAAGGTCCTTACAGAATCTGAGGCTCAATATAGCTAGGCTGCCCAGATTGTGAATTGACATCGGTAGTTTCTCAATGCCAGTCTCGTCCAGTATAAGTTCCACCAAACAATCCATAGGTACCAATATTTCTGAAAATTTCCTAACCTTTGAGCAACCTAACAAACTGATATAAGCAAGCTTCTTGAGATGCCCAATGGAGGAGTGAACCTCAGACAACCTGGTACAGTCTGTAAGCACTAACCTCTCGAGATTAGGAATCTCAGTGAAGTCCGGTATCCTTGTGAAGTTACTGGACCCCTCAAGCTCAATAATTCTCAAATCTCTAAAAGTCTGTTAAGGAATGAAAAGTGGAAACAAACAATAGATCTTGTTATTACTTTTATGTTCCAGGCAACAGAAGAAAGAAAGCATTCTGCACATTGAGTAGAAAGAAAATTACGAAGGAAGTAAAAAAGCTTACCCTGATACCAAACCAGAGTTGTTCTACCTTGCTGTGATGCAAAATAAGTCGAACAAGTTTATCTGAATGGAAACTTGAAGGCAAAGATTTTGCAGGGTAACAATCCCAATCAAGATAACGCAACTCATTAGAAAGAAATGCAGGCCCTTTGCTAAGGTTCACGTTGCAGATTTTGAGCAGTCTTAGTTTGGTCATTCGCGAGAAGGCTTCCATGGTCCAGTTTGCATCCTTTGGTTGAGGAAGGTCTACAAAAATTACTTCTACTTCTTCACCTCCCTATCATCCAAACACGAAAATTCAGAAGGCATAAGTATTATCACAAGACAAACTATAAAAATCAAACGCCATACCTATAGTTGTCAGACAAACTAAACAAGTTTCAGCACCAACAAGGTTGTGCAAGTGCTCTGCACATAACTACTCACCGAGTTTTTTGTCAGAACATGAGATGCATCCTCATATGTCCATATTCTACTGCGCTTTCCAGGCTCTTCAGGCGACTCTCGGCGGACAATATCCCTTCCCATTAGTTGCAGCAAATCATGCATTACTAAACGATTTTTTGAAACACTAATGAGAGATTTATCGATCAAAACTTGTATGCCAATCTCTGCATGAAAGCCACAACTATCAAGTATATTTGTTACTTCATCTTTATCCATAGCCTTGAAGAAACAAGCAATATCCAAGAATATTTTCTTCTCTGTTTCCTCTAGTGCATCAAAACTTATTTGTAGAACGTCCACAATTTTTCTGTTTGGGATCTCGTTCAGCCTTTTGATTGCACTGTTCCATGCACGTATATTCCTCCCGTTCAGAAAAGAACCCAAAACTTTAAGACCCAGGGGAAGTCCCTTAGCATAACCCACAACTCGCTTAGACAACTCGGAATAACCTGTAACTGGGCTGTCTTGTTTGAATGCATGCGAACTAAATAGCACAAGAGCTTCATCATTGTTCAGTGCCTTTGCTTCATATGTTTCATCAACTTTATGTGCTGCCAACAAGTGTTCATCTCGGCTAGTTATGATCACAAGGCTCCCTGGACCAAACCATTCATGATCTCCAGCCAGCATTTCAAGCTGTTCAGGATGATCAACATCATCAAGGACAAGAAGCACCTTCTTCCGCTGCAAATTATGTTTTATCTCACTTATTCCTTTATCAGCATCCCACAATTCTCCTCCCCTCCGCATTAGGATTTCAGAAAGAAGCCGCTGCTGCAAAGGAAGTGGACCATGTTTCTCGAATGACTCTCTGACATTCGCGAGGAAACAACAACCTTCGAACTGCCAACGGATTTTATCATAAACAACTTTGGCAATAGTTGTCTTCCCCAGTCCACCCATTCCGCAAATCCCCAGAAAGCGAACTCGAACAGACTCTTCATCCAACAAATTGCTAACGATTTCATCTACGCGTGCATCCATTCCGACCAAGTCATTGCTCATAATTGGGATAGAATGATTCAACGTGAACCAAATTCTTTCGACAATTTCCTTAATTACTTCCGCTTCATTCCTACAATAACAGAAAGAAAGAAGAGGCATGGGGTTATCAGCTTAACCCCAAGAGCATGCAAAGAAATAAGGCTATCGATAAGCTGCTGAAATTTACACCACTGCCACGATGATTCAGGGAAATAAAGCATTCTTTCAAGTTATGACCTAACATTTGATATATCATGAACCATGTAGAATCCTGAAGATCCTAATTAACACCATTCACTTCTGGAGTAAGAGAGTGCAGAGGGATGGATATCATGCACTGATTTCTTTCCCATGAAAGTACAGTCGGTTTCCAGAGCACCCAGTTCAAATAGAACAATTAAACCATTCATACACATTCAATTCAAAGCGGAACAGTCTCCATTCAAATCAAATCATAACCATCCCCGAAAATCTTACCTATTTCCAGCATCCCAACCGGCTAATTGGGCAACTTCAGCTACCGACTTCCTCCAGCTCTCCACCTTCTCCGGATTCAGAACTTCGTGCTCAGCAAACGCTGCCGCGTACAGTCCCTCCATCTCCGCAACCTCCGACGGATCGACATCGTAGAACACGGGCAAAACGGTGTGATCCGTTGGCCCTTCCTTGCACTGAACGATCTTGACCAGCTCATCCAAGCACCAAGGGGAATCGGCGTAATTCCTCGAGAACACGACGACCGAGAACCTCGAGCCCTCAATCGCCTTGAACAGCTCAGCCTCGATGGCTTCTCCGCGGTCTAGGTCTCTGTCGTCCTTGTAAGCTCGGATCCCTTTCTGGACCAGAGCTGCGTGGAGATGGCCGGTGAAGCTGTTTCGAGTGTCCCGGCCCCGGAAGCTGAGGAAGACGTCGTGCGTCCACCGCGGCGGAGGAGGGGAGTACGGCGACGGGAGAGAGATCGACGACGATGACGAAGTGGCGACTGCGCTTGTCGAAGCCATTGGAAGCAGAGGTCGCCGTCGACGCTGCAAGTAGAATTGAACTCCGGAAAATTGCGAAACATCTTTGAGAGGAGCATGAAGTCGTCGTCAACTCCCACTTGCAACAAATAAAGTTCAAGTGGCTAACGTGCAACCAAAGTATAACTTAAATGATACACTATGCAATTAACCCGGTTTCCACTTTCCAGCCACACGCTCTTGTTAACTTCCCCCGGAAGTTGCTTGTCGTCTATTGGAACGGAGCGGAAGGAAATGTCGATTGCTTTTTTTTTTTTTTTTGGTAGAATTGCTTTTTGGTGCTGAGGGAAAGTCATTTGGAACATTTAGGTCCTTGGCCTTGATTGTCCGGATTTGGGAATTAAAATTTCACTCCCTCACCCTATTTCTTGGGCAACTGATGAGTTCAGTTACCTTATGGTCAGTTACCATATTGTCAGTAACCATGAATAATCCGTCCACATCAGCATGATATAACTATCTATCTCTCCTGGAAAATTATTTATCTTTTCCCCTTTAATCTTTAACGGATGATTTCTCTCTCGTTTTAAGTTAAAATTTAAATTTTTTTGCACAGATAAATCAGATTAAATGTGCTCTTTAAAATGATATCCACTTTGATATATTTTCAGTACCAAAAAAATTGAATAATTTTTTACCAGTCATTACCATATAGTATGCTCATATTTAATACCATATAGTAAGAAAGCGTACCATGATGGTATGAACATACCAATATGGTAAGAAGGTTAAATACATGATAGTAGAAGTATACTAACTGTCATTTACGACTTTCATCATTGTTTACCACAAGTTACCACCAACATACCATAGTGGTAAAGTATGATAATTTTTGGTAAAGTATTTTTTTCACCCAGAAATTTGTAGATCCAATAGATCATGATGAACTCGTTCCTTCTGAGCAAACGTTTTCAAAAACGACTTAAAAACGAAGAAGTTACCATATGGTATGTAGTTGGTAAAAAAAAGTTTCTCGAAATATATTGAAAATTGATCTCATTTTGTAGAGCACAACGAACTCGTTCCATATGTGCAAAAAAAAAATTGGAATCAGAGTTAGAATGAAGAAGATAAGAGCCGATTTTGAAAACTAGGAAAAATAAAATGTCTTTAATTGACAACCCTTGGATCTGGATTTTTTGGGCCCACTTAGATCTAAAGGTCCAGATTTAGTTACTCATAGGTCAGTAACCCTATTCTAAGCCTATTTCTTGTAGGGGTGGCTATTTGGACCGGGACCGGATGAAAAACCGGAAACCGGACCGTATAACCCGGACCGAGACCGGACCGGGACCGGATAGTAAACAATCCAATCCAATCTTTGGGCTTAGATTTGAGGTAAAAAACCGGATAAGAGAACTCAACACCCAAAACTTAAGGGTAATTTGCATAAACGGTCACAAACCTTTGCACTTAGTACAAAACTTAACCAACTCCTCACCCTTGTAGGCCTTAGGCCACTCAAATTCCCACAATCTCAATATAAAATCAAGACCGAATTGGGACCGGACCGGGTCAAGACCGGACCGGATCAAGACCGGACTGTATCCAATCCAATCTTCGGTCCTTGTATTTTCAAAAAAACCGGACTGGACCGGATCAATTTGGGCCAATTTAACCGGACCGGACCGTATAGCCACCCCTAATTTCTTGGGTGCCACGGACCCAAGTTCATGCCTATGGTTGGCAAAAATATAAGCAAATGTGGATATCCCTTCGAATTTGATTTAATTGGGTAGGGTAAATTGAATTCGAAGAGTTTTTAGTGGCTATGGGTAAAAACCGAACTCGAATATTGTGATAATGCCGTAATGGGTGTGAATGATTTTTTCACTATCCAACATGGACTAACCTAATTATACACATGCACATGTATTTTGTCTAGAAATGATCATTATTTTTCTCAGCATATTTTATATTTAGTATACAAGTAGAATATTTTGATGACATTGTGTTGATTTTAGTTAATTTTTCTTCATTCTAGTGACTTATTGTCGTACTTTTCCTCTTATGTAATGTGAGTATATGTTTGAATGTTAACATGTTGGTTGTAGTTATAAAGAAAAATTATTACTCATGAATACCTGAAACCCGAACGACCCCGCCCAACCCGTTGTCATCCCTATTTGTGGGACAGCATAACATTCGAACTTTGGTTTCATAATAGTAGTTATCCTTCAAGTTACTAGCTAAGATAACTGTTTTTAATACTCTTTAAGTCCTCAAGGTCCCAGCAAAATATGGTAGGGGGACAACAATGGCAGCATTGAATATACGTTATTAGGAGTTAAATCACATATTTTAAAAGAGGATCCAATTGGAAGCTTAGTTTCTCCACGTGGCGAGTATAACATGCATGCATGCATGAAAATCCAACTGCTGTGCAAACATAAAAATAAAATGGCTCCAAAGTCCAAATTAAACAACTTTCCACTTCTCATCCATGCAAGCCGTCTCTCTCATTTAGTTATCGGATCGGATCGCACGCCAGACATTTTACGATCGTTGAATGGACACAATAATATTTTAATTTTAGTTACAGAAACTGACGCCACGCCCACTTAACTACGTTCGCTAAACACCCAAAGCACAATCCGACGATTATGTATGTGTGAGCACGTTCTCATCAACGAGTCTCCAAGTTATTGTTGGAATGACGATCATCATATTCAGCTAGTGATTTGATACACTTAGAAAAAACATATGTATTCACAATCTTCGCCTCCTGAGATAAAAACGGTGGCCAGGCACTGATCGAAACATCTGTTGAACCTGCTCTTCGAAACAACACCACTTGTGGCCGCGAACGGCAGCAGAAGCACCAGCAGCACACAAGCCGCCATCTCCATTCTCCTGCTGAAAAACTCGCCTTCCATACTTTTCCCTCTTATCCTTTGTATATTTTCTGAAACTCCTTTGGTTTCACTTCTCTAGATCGACTCTCCATCCCTCTTCCAACACTTGTATATATAGTGGTGGCCGCAGGGCCGGCCAATGAATATTGGAGGCCTTGTTCCAAAAACGAGAATGTGGCCCGATTTTTTATTTTATTTTTATAAAAGAAAAATTGTTAACATTGATTAAGAAATAAAGTTCACAACAAATTTATCTATTGCTCCTTTTTGAGATTGAACTAATTCTTCAATTTTTTGTGATTAGAGCTTTCATATTCGAAATTTCTAGACGACATAATTAGTAGAAAAAGAAGATAGAGCTAGCGAACTTCACATTATTAAGAACGCTTGAGGATGAGGATGGATGATTGATGATCAATTATTGTTGAGTCGTTGTCCACAAAACGACGATGATTGATGATACATAAAATAAGAAGATACGATACAAAATTGATTATTTAGAAAGTAAAACAAATAAAAGAACCCAAATACTAACTCAATGTACTGACAAAATGTTTCAGCAGTCACTGTCACTATGTTCCTCCGTAGTCATTCTGACTCCCTTCTAACACCGTCTTCAATCCCTAAAAATGTAAATTTTCTGGATTTGTTTCTCATTCTTGAGAAGAATTCTTCATTTTAATTCGGATTCTCATGATTTCAACTATGTATGCAGCATCTACTGAAACCTGTTCTTGGTGGTCTTCCAGTCCCTACAGTCGCTGTCACTCCATTCCTCCCTTCTACCGTCACTCCGACACTCCTCCAAAGTCATTCTCACTCCCTAAAGGTAAGGGATCTTGTTTCCTATTCTTGAGAAGAAGCTTATTCTTTCTAATTAGGATCCTGATAAGTTAATCTGAATGCATATGAGAGATCTATAGAAACCTTTTCTTGGTGGCCCTCCCCCCTCTCTTCCAGTCTCCTACCTCTGTCTCTGATTCAGTACGAAAATCAAATAACATCCTCTGGAATGGAAGAAAGCGATTCCAGTTGGAGAGTCGGACACGTCATATTTTGTTCTCGCTGAGCAATGTCAACAAAATGTTCGACGATATCAAAAGAAACGAATATCAATGGTCTATGCCTCAGCGGGAGCGAGTGGGAAGCCCCAACAAGATGTCCAGCCTAACAAAATTGATCTTGTGTAAAAGGGTTGTTATTTTTACCTTCTCTGTAATTTGTAATTCTGTAGTCGATTGTAATTTTTCCTGATTTCTTTTTCCTAGTTACTCTTTTGGATCTGAAGTAGTTAGTTCTTTGATCAACACTAATTAATATTCTCTCAAATATTAAAACAAAAACAAAAAATCAACTACAAGAATCGTTTTACCATTCCACCCATGCTAACAATAAATTAAAGAGGACACTTAGGTTACATTCTTATTTTCATCCATGAAACTAAATCTTGGAAATGCCAAGAGTTTAGAGAAGAAAGAGTGTGTTGTAGTCTATGACTATGAGGACCTCCTTCTTAGTGGTATTTATAGACTATTATTCATGATAGTTGTACTTTGCTTTTGGTTCTAAATTGCATGAACCTCATTTGACAAACCAAGGGCAAAAGAGGTCTGATTCATCCACTGAAAGAAATAGGATTAGTGTTGTCTTTGATCTGCATGCTCTTTCCATGATGAGGCTTAGATCAAATTGAGCAACACCAGAATTCATGTTGTTGTATTCATATAAACATTTGCAATATAAAAAAAAAAATTACACGAGGCAAATTAAGAACAACTATTTAAAAGGTATAGTAATCCACCCGCCATGATGCCTTCCCCCCTAACTTATTGGCAGAGAGCTCTAAGATCAGTCATCAACTTTTACATTAATGTTTCAATTCACTTGGTATCTCATTAATTAACTATACACGTACAAATGATACAATTGCACTGAAAAAACTCAACGAGTCAAATGTGGTAAGAAAAATATTGTCCTAAAAAAGATAAGTGGAACAAACCTTCAGTAAGATGTACAAAATGAAATTACAAGAATGGGGTACATATTTTTTCCTTCATCTACTTATTTCATCACAATAAGCTGAATGAATACAGGCCAAAAACATTAACCCACAAAACAAACATTTGATGGGAAGCAAACCATCACCTTCAACCCAAAACCTCCCCTGAACCCATACATATTTATATATATCGAGACACCGGGCCAGCTAGAGCAGTCTCGAGCCAAGATGACGATTAACGACGAAACTGGTTCAGATTGCAACGTTGCATACGACTGAAGACCATTCTTCCTGCGGTTACCTCGTATTATGGTTCAATTTTATAGCAAATCCAAGAGAGGTGCCTGTCCAGGCTGAGGTTTGTTGGCATGAGAAGAAGACTTCATGGCTGAGCCACCTGCCGCTGTTCCTCTTCCTCTCCCTCTGCCGACAGCAGTCAAAGGAGGCGGAGCAAGCCTAGGAGCTAAAGCTCCATTATCGTTGTTCCTCACGGAACCAAATATGGATTCCAGATCTCCAGACAACCTCTTTTGATTACTAGACGAAACCATGCTTCCTCCCTGGCTGCTTTTCAAGGACCCGAGGGAGTGGTTGCGATTCATCCCACTGCCTCCACCACTGTTCACAGCTCCTCGTCCCATGGGAAGCGAATTCTGGTTGTTGAACGCCCAGCTGTTGCTTCCATTGCTCTGAGTGCTACTGTTGGAAGTGGTGGTTCCCAAGCTAGAGCCGTAATTTAGAGTAAGTGAGCCAACTCTACCGTTGTTCAAAGTGTTGGAGGTACTGGTGGTACTGCTGCTAGGCCTCGGAGGCCAATCGGCAAAAGGATCGGTATCGTCAACAGCTGGCGTGGATGATGACGTCACCGTACTCGATTGTCCCCAGCCATCACTTTGCTGCGGATTTACACCAGAAGATGATGACCGCGGAGGCCACTCTATGTCGACTGGAGTGCATGACACAGCTGGTTGTTGACTAGCCATGGAAGACAATGATTGCAGTGGCTGCTGCTGGTTGCCCGAAGATGTCATAGTAGTAGGAGCAGGAGATGGGTTGCTTGAAACAGAGGGAATAGGTACGGTAGCAGAACCTTTGGTGACAGGACCCCAGTCTTCATCCCAAGACGGGCTCTTTTTTACTGCAGAAGCAACTGTGCCAGTTGATTTGCTTGATGCTTGAGACTGACTCCCATTAGCAAAAGGTAATGTCTTCGTTTCTGGAATTCCAGAATCACTTACAGTGACCCCTCTCTTTTCTTCTATCATCCTGTTAAAAGAAAATTGCAAAAAAGGGGGTTTATGATAATACATACACTTCTTCCATGTTGAAACTAGCTAGACAGGAGGGACATACAAGCCTACCACACCACAGACATTCAACTGATGGCATTTCCTCTAGAGCTTGTAACTAATAGGATAGCAGTTGCTATTTCAAATGTTCAAACTATAAATATTATCATACATAATCATCATATATATGCATAAAATTGTACTTAGTTTGCCCGCGGTTCAATTAGACCAAGTGTCCTATCCGAACAATTTTTTCACCAAAGAAAAAAAGAACGACGAATGTCCAATTCTTAGTGGCATTAAGAATCATCAGCACGTTCCATCTACATAAATCTTAAGACTTGAAAAAGACATACTAACCGTGATTGAGCTAAAAGGCTACCTAGATATGATCAGTGTGCATATGTATCACATAAGCAGCACAAAACATCAGTTGGAGCAGTGAGAATACCTCAGGACATCCTTAACAAAGAGCATGTATTTGGCAAACTGCTGCACGTTTAGCTGTTGGGCAGTGAGCAGAGGCGAAAGCAGGGGAAGAACATGCTCTGCAACAAATTCTACTCCAAACTGACAAAAAGAGTTCCAGTCAGAAGAATGAAAAATTGAGAAGTTTTCACTATTTAGCTCTGATATCATGTGTTTCAAAACATTACCTGCTTTAGAATCGAGTTTGCCACCCCGAGAGTACACATAAGGGTAGGAGCGGAACGGTCAACTGCTGTACAACGTCCAATCGTTTGCAACATGTCTAAAACAGCATGTTTGTCGAGTGAATGAGCAAACTCTACAAAGCATAGCAGAGCATTCACTCTCACCTGCAAACAAAAAATGATGATTAGTAATGCATTCATATGATGTATGTATTAGTATATCAATAACGACCTGGATATACAAACATAAAAAAAATCTTTCTGCATCTCAGAATTTGAAACATGTTACATACCGCAGCAACAGTTGTTTTGAGAGCTAATCCATGAACCCGAGGCAAAATTGCTTGCTTCACTAGCTGCAAAGAGAAAAACAATGCACAGTACCCAAAAATGACATCAGTTACCAGGAAATATAGACAATTCTATGCATTTTATTCATCTTCACGCCTCTAAAAAGTATTATAAAAAATAAAGTGACTAAAGGGATATCCCAAATGATGATTAAAGAGGAGTAATGGTTAATTATTGTATGAATCCAACAGCTTTTAAGTATCAAATATGGAAGAAACAACCCATTTCAAGCATATACTTCCACTGATAAGAAAAGGAGACTTGAGAACAACTTCGATGAAATGCTATCAAACCTGGGGATCAAGTTGCTTGGCAAGAGATACAGATTTTTTCAAAACTTCCTCCTGGATGCGTGTATCAGTATCATCATAAGCTCGAACCAACATCGGCAGGACACTGGATACCAAAGTCTCATGACTAGCCTACAAGTGTTACGAAAAATCGGATATTAGTACCGACTTATTCTAATGTCAACCATGTTCATGAAATTAGTGAAAAAGAAGGATGCAGAGTAAGAAGGAGAAATCATCAAATTCTGACACTAATCATAAATAGGATGGAAACACAAAGAGTAATAGTTGAACATCCTCTCGCCCAAACCCCTTTTTTTCTCTTCTTTCTATATTTTCCCTGTTTTTTTACTTTTTGGTCTTTGGCTACCCCTACTTCTCTACCAAAACCATATATAGTTATTAACAAAAAAGAAATTCATTGACCACAAAGAATGCGGACAAAAAATGGTATGTGGATAGAGCAAGTTACCTTGTTGATTATGAGATCTGCATGCTTGACAAGCAGTAGCAGTGTCTCGCCAGCAGCGGTACTGAGGACAGGAACTAAAGCTGGAAGTGTTGAAAGCTCAAAATCTACTTTATCCTACAATAGATGGAAAATCATAATTTTGATAAATATAAACTCATATGTATCAGTTTAACTGTCCATCACTAATTCGTTTTGCAGAAAATAGCAATTTCCACTTGGATATGCACACAAGAGACCATAGGAATGCAAAATTGATTTCCTAATGTACACAAATGAGGCTTTATCTGCATTAGCAATACTTTCCAACTTAGAACTTTAGCACAACACAAAATGTCACGTCCAGTAAGCCTTTTGTCCAAGATGAAACCAGAAAGAAACAAGTTTTTACTTTTTCTTCTTATACCATACAAGAATTTAAGCAAAACAGTCAAAAGACATAAAAGCTACTATACACACTAAGTTCCCAACAAAAAAACAAACTCCTTACAAAGGTAGCCTTCTCAAGAAATATGATGGGCTACTATACACATTAAAGGAGAAAATTCATTCACAAAGATATTGCAAAAAGAAAACCATAAATATTCCTTGATCAAGCTAGAGTATCTAAGTTCGATAAAATCGAGGGTACCTAATCAATGGGTGGGGAAAAGAGAGCATAAAGGAATGAACAACAACCAAAAAACTCGATTATCTGGCTGTCTAGACGTAACAAAAGATGTCATTCAGCCAACAAATTCAATACCTGAGATTCAGCTATGGTTAGAACCATAGGGAGAATCATTGGTTGCATAACCATATTCCTGAGTTCCGCGCATAAAGGTGGAAGCACCTAGAAAAGCACTTCACTTAGAAACTTTCGCCAAAATAGAAATTTATAAAAAAGCACAAAGAAGAAATACACAATCAAACAACAAGGGAATGAGACAGATAGATCCAACAAATGTTATTTTGCTAATAAAATAAAAAATGAAATTTTATGGCCGCATTAGCATGCTCCATAATCAAACACAAACAAGAGAACACAGATTCACCTTGCAAAACGAGCAGGTACCAGCATTGGCGTTTTATTTCTATTGTAATGTATTACCAGCGAAATATTCTAGATAGAGTGTTTCACAAATAGATATAAAATTGCTATCTAACGATAAGTCCACAAAGATTGGCCAAGTATGTAGCACCAAATAAAACTCAAACCTTGTACCGCAATACACGTGAGTCAAAATCTTTCCACATATCTGATAGTGCTTTTAAGAACTCAGACTTCTGCATGTTATCTCGCTCCTGAAAGGTAAGAGAACATTCAATGAAAGCACAATTGATTGCATTTTGAAATTATAATAGTTTCAGGTTAAAATTCTTGCTGATTAAGGTAAACAAAAAAGCATACAAGCATGTGGTCAAGGAAGCGAAGAGCACGCAACCTCGTGTCGTTACGGAAAAATCCAGAACCTGAAATAAAACAATACGAAAGGTAGCTTATGAGGAGCAGGAATGGCAATGGAGGTTCGTCTAGAATATATGTAGTTTATTTCCAAAACCAAGCCCATGTCTCTCATGGTCTGTTCTTCCCAAATCCCCAATAGGGTTTAAAAAAATGTAAAAGCAAACTGAGCCAAACAAACCCTTCTGCAAGAGAAGACTATACTGTGATCATGTGTAAAAGAGGAACATCTTAAAATTAACAACAACCTTCCAATTCAGAGAATAGTTAAGTCACCAAATTTCAATTTACTCCACAATATCAAATTGCAAAAGACGAGTCCTATATATTCTACAACATGGTTCATCACATAAAAAAGCCTCAAACTGTCTTCTAAAGAGTAAAACCCATCACTACTATATCAGTACTAGATAAATCTATTTATCTTCTTACCCTCTTATGATGAACTATTGCATTGCAGTCTAAATAGTGATGTGCTTACCAGTAAAATCAATGGCAGAAGGTCTGAAAGATTCATTTGCAGAGAGCATCCTCTGCAAGTCAGGTACTAGTTCAGAAGGAATGGAGGAGAACGACCCACTGGACAAGTAATTCAAAGCATTCATATACTGCAAACAGAAAGAGAACCAGTTAAATTTCATCCACTTGTATAATTATGCACATTTTTCTGCTCTTGTCGAGGATTCAGTATATTACTCTACAACATCTCTACAGGTCATAATCAGAAGCCAAATTAACAGAATACCAGCAGTATTGAGCAGTCCCGTAAGAACTGTATGCCAATAAAAAAAATCACGGAATGCGTGCACATGGCAAGGAAAAAGACAGTCAAAAGGTAAGCTTGGAAGCATCAAGCTATAAAAACCTCATGGAATAGCATACAGGTATAACCCAATACATTCTTCGGCGAAGGATGAAAATCAAAATTGCATCGCATACACTGAAGCTCATTTGTTTTACATCTATATGGACCCTAAGGCTTAAACCTAGGGCAAGTCAAATATCACCAGCCTAATTATACACACAGCTTGGCCCTCATGATTCGTTAAAAATGCATTTTGCCAACTATAGGTGATAAGAAAGCCATGAGAGGAAAGAACAATTGAGCCACTTACAGTTACAAACCTGAAACCCCTAGAAAACATTTTAGCTATAAAAGGAAAGAATACCATCTTGACATTGTTGTGGCAATCAAACAAAGGTTTGTGAGCAATCAAGTGGTAAGCAAGGCATCCAAAGCTGAAAATGTCAGATGAACTCCCAGAAGAAGGCACTTTGCTACGAACAAGTTCAGGTGCAGTGTAATTTAAAGATGGCTGCAGGGGCATGATGGAATCCTCCACATCATATTCCTGCAGAAGACAGGTAAGAAGTGATTAACACCAAACGGGTTCTCAAGAGTAATTGACAATCGACCAAAAAGGAGTCTAAAGACCCACGATAGTATGAGATCACTTGTAAATGGCTAATACTAAACTAATGTACACAACTCTGCGGGCCAAAATGCACCCTTTTCACGGAACATTGGATTGTTGCAATGGAAAACAAGATAAATCAACACAACAAATATCACTTCATACAGTAAGGACAGCATAACTGTAAAGTACAAACCGAAGATAGAACAAATAAAGCAAAGCTGAACTAGCCCAATCAACAATTCCAGTTGACAACATGATCAAAATATGAAGTAACACTTACAGCATAATGGAAGGCACTAGCCAAATTGCCACCCTGGTCGCTTGGGATCGTAAAACAAAATCCGCCAAGCTTCCATGCTCCACTTGCAGTCATAAGGATATTCTGTAAATCAGAAAGTCAATGTTGAAAGCATTTATTGTTTAAACTGAAAATACACAAATAGGTTCTGGGAAACAGACTACAGTATTCAAGCTACCACTCTGAACAAGCGTTCAACTCTTGCAGAGTGATTACTGGAGAAAAGAAACTTGCCTCAGGAGCTATCGCCCGGTGGATTAGATGTGCATTGTTATGGAGAAAGTCCAAAGTTTCTGCAATCTGGAGCAACCCATGTTTCACCTCCAACAGCCCCATTTCCTATAAGGTTGATATTCATTGGTCAGACTTCGAATAACTCTCAATGCACATACAGATCGAACTAATATAACCACCAATTGACAGGATTCATCATTTCTGCATTTACTAAATCAAGATCAGAGTTCCCGAACTTGTATAAGTTTAGGCATTTCAGTTCAGCTCCTACACCTAGAGGAATTCTGACTTTTCACAAAATGCAAACAGCTATTGCAAACAGACCAACCCAGATCGAAATCCACAATTTTGAACTGAATCCAATCCAGAGAGAAATTACTTACGATTCCCTTGAGCTCCTTCGGCACCTTCTCAACATTCTCCAAATTCCCAAGCACGTTAGCAACCGAGGCAAAGAGCGGCTCAGTCACCATCGCCATGGCATTCTTATTCTCGTCCAACGCCTGCACCACATGCACAACCCCAGGGTGCCGCAGCCGCACCAGCCTCGTCGCATCCGCCCGAACCACATCCAGAAACGAGTCCTCTGCGGCCTTGGACAAACCGACCCGGATTCGCGCCTCCGACAACGCCCTCTTATCCAGCACCCACACGCAAACCACAGGGTACTGCTGCCCCCGCGCTGACTCCCTCACCGGCCGAGCGGAGTACAGTTTCCAGGCGAGGCCGGGTCCGGCGGAACCGATCTGGTCGATGAGCTCGTAATCCTGCAATGGTTTCGGACCCGTCACTTCCTGCACGGTCGTCTGCACCGTCTTCTCGATCACCGCCCCCGCCTTGGCCAGCGCTTGCGTTAGGGTTTTCATATTCAGAGACATGACTGATTGATTGATTCCTCCCCTCCCTCCCTCAACTTCAATTCCTTCCCTTTCTTTCTACCAATTCTCTTCCCCCCGAATCTGAAATCAACAAGTCGCCGGAATCGTCTGTACAGACACGAAATAGAACACGATGGCGGCCGATGGATGCGACGGCGACGGGAGAAGGAGAGAGAGTGTCCTTACAGATCACGGAAGAATGGGAGAGGACCGTTGATCTCGTCGTTCTCCTCGCCACTTCGTCGCTGTCTCCACCTCTCTCTCTCTTTCTTTCTCTGTGACTTCTCTCTAGAAGAACATCTTATTTTTGTTTTTAATTTGGTTAGGTAATTTTTTTCATAATAATTTGGTTAGGTGATTGATTTTATGTTGTAAACGGTAAACGTGCCAACGTGGTGGCAGGTGGGGACAAACCCCGCCAAATTTTGTCGGCAATGGGCTGGGCCTGGACTCAAGTAGGCTGAACTTATGAAGTGTGGGCTGGGCTGATTTAAAACTAATAAAATTCTTTTTTTTTTATGGGAATAAAATTCCTTTTTGGTGTATGTAATATCTGCATTCTGAGTACCAGAAAAACCGAGGGAAAAAAATCAGAAATACACAGTACGATCGCATCAAAATACGGGGGAAACAACACAGCAAGCAATGATTCTGTTCATGAGCTGCGCCAAGATTCCTGCACCCAATTGCGATTTGCACTTTCGTGAATGGGTTCTTTATATAGTGAACTTGGGAAACTCGATAAGGCTGCGCTGTTGCCGTAAGCGGAGAAGAAAACGCATCGAGCGCTTGGGCGGGAGGAAGCTGCACCTATGCGGCACTCATTTCTCACTCTATCAGTCCGCCCACTTGCATCTCACCGGCCTCCTCTGTAACTTGCCGGTGGGCTTATCTGTTGGTCTGGCAGTTGGCCAATCTTCAGTAGCTGATGAAATATCCAAACTGATTAAGAGACCTAAGTTCGAGGCAGGTATCTGCTATGACCCAGATGATCTTTCACAGGAATTAGAAAGCAACGAGTTACGCTGGAGCACCTCAGCTATGTGGTAAGTTGCAGTGTTATTTGTCAGATTGGTATCTTAACACTTCCAACTGCTCTCTTAAAGTTTTATCATTTTGGTTAGAGTGTCTGATTCTAGTGTGTTTGGTCAGTTGCGATAGCCAAATCGAAGCTGGTTTGTACCCAGTAGTGGACATTTGACCGTTACTTGTGAACTAACAGGAGTTAGCTACTTTAGGTGGTTGATGAAACTGATAGAATGCTCAGGGAGGCATATATACCAGTCTTGACTTTCTACTGTTCTTAGCCTAACTCGTTCTGATGAAGAAGTTCCTGCCCCATGTATTAATAGTTTTCTGCAATCTGGGTTTGGTCCTTTGAGAACCATTAAGAAGATGGTAAGTTCCACGTTCTTGTCTTAGATTGTACGCAAACTAGTTCGTCTTGAAGATGTATGCAATTTCCTGTGAAATGCTCTTCGATGTCCTGCATCTTTTAAGGAACGGAAAAGTGCATTGTTTTCACCTCATCGGTGGAATCTACTCACAGGCCTTGCACCCTAGTGAACTTCTTTGGTGATTTGAAACTTGGTATCAAAGATCTATTCGGGTCTTCAATGGCAATCTGTGAGAAGTTACTGTCACAACATGCAGTTTATTTTCCTGGTAATTGGTCCTTAACATATATACACATGAAAAGAGGTATCCTGGATTCTGGCATCTGGATAGCAGAAGGCTCGTCTCATTACCGGAACTCCCAACCTCGCTGTCAAAGTTGGAAGCCGATAACTGCCAATCATTGGCTACAGTATCCATATACTCTTGCAGATAACATGAACTCCTTTGACAGCTTGATGCGCATTCTTGTGACCCTTGCGATTTCCATGCTACAGATATGATCTCTACCAGCTGTTGAATCGACCTTCTGCTGTCCTGGGGGTAAAGTTCCTGAGTGGTTTACCCACCATAGTTCTGGACATTCGCCAGTTATGCAGCTGTCTTCAAATTGGACAAGTGACGGGTTTGCTGGCTCAACTATCTGTGCTGTTCTTGCATTCAAGGGCCAATTTCTATGAATCTGGTGTTCAACTCAACTGTACATTTCATTTCAGCGCCCAAGGACAGGATTCCCAAGCTCTCCATCACTGCTACTTTTGTGGCAGTGCTTATGGTGGAAAATTTCTCCTGTCGAATCATCTTCTATTCGGCTACGATCCCAGCATCATCGAAGCGGCTTCCCAGAATCATTTGCTTGGAAAATGCAACCAGGTGGACATTCTGTTCTACCCAGAAGACCCGAATGGAAATACTTTGCCCGGTTACGATGTCATTGCTTGTGGGGCAAGTCTCCTATATCACTTATCAGTATTCATGTAAAGCTTCACACTTGTTGATTCCATGACCTCAAGTACGTTCACTAGATTACAGTCATAGATCCTGATATGATCTGTGAAAAATTCTCATAAAATCTAACTATTAACTACGATAACTCCAATCAAGATCCTGATATGATCTCTGTGAAAAGTTCATTCATTTACCACTGTAGCTCAAGCTCACTGTAAAACTACACAAAAGGAGAGACCACCAAGGTTCAATGTTGTAGCTGTAAGACCATCACAAATCGGAAAAGTGGACCATGAAACAACAAAGTCTAGCATTAACAACATATCCCCCCAAGTTCCCCAATCAGTTCAAGTACAGGGAAAACAAATTCTTCATCCTCTGTTTTCTCAGAGCTCACAGGGCCAATCAGACTTTCAGCTTGCAAAATGTTCAATTGCTGGGGATGATGGTTCGGGGATATACCCTGGTAATCTGCGTGAAGAAAATGAATCGAGTTTAGTTCACCACCAAAGGAATCTAGTCATGGAAGATCACGGTGATGAGAAAAGGAAGACATTTGTAGGCTGTACGTACTACGTAGTACCCATCACAAATTGACAATCTAGTGTCACATTATATCCATACGGTGTAAACCAACATTTGATATCGAGTTCAAAAAGAAGGGCATGGTTTCAATAGACGGATAGACCCACCTCTGTAACTCGATGGCCACAGTCCACTCTGCGACCAAAGATGCCGAAGAAGTAAGAAATCACAACCTCATGATCATCAGTTATCACGGCCATGTCTTCTTCCTTATGACGCAAAGCCAAGTACGTCAATCTTCCAAAAGGTGAAGGTCGACCTCTCAACAGCTGACAAGCACTCCAGAATGCCTAAAACCAGAGCGTAAACCAAAACAACATGAAGAGAATGAGATTTCTTTCGACCCACATAACAAAAATCAAAGACCAAGAACAACTTGCATAGGCAGGTGCAATGGCGAACAGACCATTGATCAACAGCTTAGATAAATGCCCTGCAGCAGTAAGATATGATATGAGTTGGTGCACTAATATAGTTACCAGGGAGCTTACCGTGGTGGTACCAAATTTGAAGACAAGAGATTCCGCTCGACGCAGACCATAGATTAACGCTGCATACCGAGTCTGTACCGCTTCCTCATTCAGGTCATCAGCATTCTGTACCTCTTCCTCACTCAGGTCAACAGTCGAATCTTTGTATCCCTTCAAGTTGACAGCTGCATGCTCTAGGGATGGAGCGTTCAAGGAGACTCTTGTTATCGGATAAGAACGGAGAATCGCAAACTTAAAAGTAAACGATGTGAGTCTAGCAGCTGAAACTCTGATCTCGGAGAAACCAATTGGTTTGTTTATCTCCAGAGTCAGCAACTGTTGTCCATTTACTACCAAGATGGCAACATCAGTAAGAGGGTCATCAACATCCCGGTCAATACAGCGGCAGCAAGAAATCAGGCTCAACTGCTCCAACGCTGGGAACCCAGCAAAAGGGTCAATTTCCTCCTGGTCAAAGAAATCAAAGGAGACTCCGTTCAAAACCAATTCTCTGAGTACTCTGAAACTAGACCAGGACTCCCGCCCAAATACCGCTGCAGAATACTTGAAACCTTCCAACTGCAGTATCTCCAGCGACGCAGCACAAGCGGAGATTGATTCGAAAGCAGTCTGCGAGTAATGAGGATATTTCATAAATCCAGAGGAACCGCGAACCCGCAGATCCTGAAGCCCAGCAGGTGCCGCCCAATGCATGAGTTTATCAAAGATTTCGGTATCGGATTCGTCCGCGAACTCGGTGTCGATCTTGAGAGACTGAAACATATTTTCTTTCACCCACAGATATCCCCCCAGCTGCTCGACAAAATGCGGCTTCCAAAACCAGACTTGGCGTCTAAACAAACAAACAAACAAACAAGACTCGGTGCATATTCCAAAATCGCAAGTCTTTGTGAATCAATAAACCTTCCATCAGCTACTAAAACCTCGTTCGGAAAAGCAAGGAAAGAATCACAATCTTGGATATAGCTTACGAACAGATGGAGTGCATAGTTCAAGAACTGTAACCAATCAAGCTCTGAAACAGAGAGAGAGATGAGATGGTACCTGGACGAGAAACTGGCCGAGAGAGGAAACGGAAAGAGAACTGGATTCAGGAAACGATCGCGTGATCAGTTGTCTCGCTGCACTGATCAACTCGGCGCCGGGCAACTTGCAGGAAACGATCCCCCCACCTGCTCGATAAAATGCGGCTTCGAAAACCAGACTTGGCATCCAAACAAACAAAGAAAACAAACAAAATTCAGCACATATTCCAAAAGGCAAAATCGCAGACGTCAATGAATCAAAAGGATGCACATAAACCTTCCGTCTGCTACTAAGATCTTGTTCGAACAAGTACGGAAAGACTCAGAATCTTGGACATAGCTTACGAACAGATGGAATGCATAATTCAAGAACTGTAACCAATCAAGCTCTGAAACAGAGAGAGGAGAGAGAGAGAAGGTGCTTACCAGGACAAGAAACTGGGCGAGAGAGGGAGAAAGCTACGAGAGGAAACGGAAAGAGAACTGGATTCCGGAAACGATCGCGTGATCTGTTGTCTTGCTTCACCGATCAACTCGTCGCCGGCAACTTTCAGAAGAATAGCAGTCGACGAACCGAGGGAAAGAGGACGTCGTCGCACGTTGGAGCAACCGCAGCGGAAGAGGAAGTGAAAGGAGAAGGGCGACGGTTAGAGAGAAATGTGCAAAGACTGCAAGGAGGCGGTGGGCGGGAAATATTTGCTTTTCTTCACTTTTGGTTTTGGAGGCAGAGGAGGAGGGAGAACAAGCAGAAGAAGAAATGGCGAAGTGAAGGACGTTTTGATTGGACGGGAGGGATGGTAGGGACGGACGGCGTGGGAAGAAGAAGCTTGATATTCTCTCTCTCATTTATAATGCTTTTTTGTTTTTGTTTCTTTTAACAGCAATGAGCCCAACCCGGCATACAAATTCCTTTGGCCCACTTCGGTAACAGGCCCGCTTCACCAGGCCCGGTTTCTCATTTAGTTTTGAGAAATTTCTTGTTTTTCTAACCGTGGAAATTGAAATTTTGATTTATTTTTGTGAGCTCTTTTTGGTATACAAGAGTTTTTATAGGAAAAGGGGAAGTTCAACTGGGATTAAATTGGATGGAAAATCAAATAGATCGTTTCAAATATAATTTGGATTTGTAAATTATTTTAAAGACGAGATCAATGTGATTGATTCGAATCAAATCAAAATATACTTTTGGATGCTATTAAAATCATTGTTCATTGTTACTTTAAATTATAATAGTCTTTCAATTGGATGAGATTGTGGACAACATATTATACCATGGAAATAACATGACATATATTTAAGAATCAAACATACTCATACTATTGATGAACAACACTGTCATAACAGCAATATGATTATTCTGCTAACTGAATAAGTTGTTAGTATACACTAACTAATATCCAAAATGTATGAACTAGTATTTAAGTCTGTTGATTTTACCAACTAATATCCACAATCAAACCAACTAGTATTCAATCAATCATTTACCAACTAATATCCACAATCATACCAACTAGTATTCAATATGGATACTCTTATGTGTTATCTGAATACTCTTATGTGTTGTATGGATACTATTATGTGTTGTCTAGATATTGGTTTGTGAATTTGAGATAATAGTTGATTCATTGTGGATATCAGTTAGCAAACCTTGAATATTAGTCTGTACTCTCTAGATACTTTATTGTTTGGATACTAGTTCATGTATCTTGGATATCAATTAATATTTGCTGAATACTCTTATGTGTTATCTGGATACTAATTATGTGTTGTATGGATACTATTATGAGTTGTCTAGATATTAATTTGTGAATTTGGGATAATAGTTGATTCATGGTGGATATCAGTTAGCAAACCTAGAATATTAGTCTGTACTCTCTATATACTTTAGTGCTTGGATACTAGTTCATATATTTTGGATAGCAATTAATATTTGCTAACGAATTTTCAAATTAGCAAATTAACTTTTTCACATATTCACATAGGCAATAAAACAATTTGAAGGTGAATGGGGAGGGAGACAATGGACGATAGTCAATATACGACCTGACCTCCCGAAACCCATTACTCCTTGAATCTTTCCCGACTTGGTCATATACTGGCTAGTTCTTCTGCCTAAGTTGGTGGCAATGGTTGCTGCATCTACTAGTTGTTGGGTATGGAGTGATTAATTACAAGTGTTTGAATTCTTGTAACGCCATCGGTTGATTTGGTTATTTTTCTGTTTTTTTATAATGATTTGTACTCATTTCTGCTTGTGTGATTATTGTACTTATCAATTATCATGTACCTGATATGATTGATATATTGAGATATGTTATAAAATAGAAAGGAAGAGCAATAGACACAAGAGTAAGAGTAGAGACACAAGAAGAGAGGGGGAATAGAGCTTTATTATTCATATGTTCCCTAGTACAAGGAGATCATCTATTTATAGGCACACAACACATAATCTCTACATTATTACAATCAATATACATGAATGTGAGAATGAATGTGAAATAGAAATGAGGTGGGGGTTACATGTAACACCCAATTGTGCATCTAATGTGTCATATGGAGAAATAAATATAAGAAGATGAGTTACATAGAACTTGTAACTTACCATGGAGCATCTAATGTTGGTCATCCATAATAATAATAATATTTTCATAACGCTCCCCCTTGGCTTTAAACTTGGTACACCTTCCTCATCATGCTAGGACCTAAGATTAGAAAATAAACACAACCTATTATAGCTATGAGCTAAATGGCCAAAAACCGGTAAACATCATGTTCTCTCATAGGATATTAATATTTAATCACATACAACACAAAATCAAGTCGAAATTACAATGGTATTGTGACTATGGTATTCAAACATCTAAAAAATGAGCTCTAAAATATGCATAAAATGTGTATCATCAAAGTGTATAATGTGCAGGGTATCAAGAAGAACCTAATTCAACTTACTACACCAGGAAACTATGTCGTGTTTGACCCATATGATGTTAAAGTGTGCAAGAAAGTGAAGATCATTGGCATATGCCTACCATGGAAGGAGTCAAGAGGAATTCTCTGTATGTGATGACTATAGAATCTGCCTATGTTGATTTTGCAAGGAGGAACGAGACAAATGAGTTGTGACACGCACACCTAGGTCATGTGCATTATCACAAGTTGAAGGCCATGATGAAGAAATCAATGTTGAAAGGTCTTCCTCAACTGAGGTTCGAGATAATATAATTTGTGCAAAATGACAATACGAAAAGGCACACAGACTTTCCTATATAAGGAGTGACACTATAGAGTGAATGAGCCTTTGAGCAGATACAATAAGAAGTATTTGGACATTTGAAGCAAACATCTATTAGTGGATATCGTTATATGGTCACATTTATTGAGAATTATCTAAATAAGTATGGGGTGCATTCATGAATGCGAAATCAGAGAAGTTTAAAATATTCAAGGAGTTCAAAGAGAAAGTGGAAGATGAGTTGGGAAGAATGATCATAATACTATGCGAGGACAATGGAGGAGAGTACACATCTGACGAGTCATGTGTCTACTTGAGGAGGCACAAGATCCATACACAATTTACTTGTGCAAGGATGCCACAACAGAATGGTGTGACATAGAGGGAAAATAAACATCTTGTAGAGATAGTTAGAAGTATGCTACATGCCAATAACGTGTCATGAAGATTTTAGGCCAATTGTATCAAGACTAAATTATACATCACTAACAAACTTCCTCAAATAAGGTTGAGATTTACATCACCGTTTGAGAAGCTATGAAAGATGAAGCCAACAATTAGCCATCTTAGAGTTTTTGGAAGTGTTTGCTATATCTTAGCCTTCGAGAAGTATGAAGCTTATACCTTAAACGTTGTTGGTGTTCGTTAGAATGATGTTGGTTGAATTAGTTGGGTTGTGCAAGAAGCTATTGAGTTTATCGTGGTAGATTAAAATTCAGAGTTACAAAAATACATAAGATGCTCAGATTTTTCATCCACAGATTATAAGGTAACCAAGTTTTGATTTTTTGTATTCTCTTATGAAACAAAACAAAAAAAGTAGACTAATTGGATTCTACAAACTTTGTGGTTTCTACCGCTTTGATCTATCCATTTCTGGATTGAACAAGAACCTGACCATGTAT